AAACGAATCACGTATTTTTCATACGTGAATTTTATCAAAATTCTACATAGATATGGAGTGGGGGATCGGAGCCGAGGTCATCCTCATTCGAAATTTACTAGCGTGAACATGAGTGCCTAATAGAGGGACACAAAGCATTAAGGTGCCCTTAAATGCACAATTGAGATAAAATTGTTATTATTATAACAGAGACCTAGATTAGAAAAAAGGTTAATCTAAAAGGGTCATTTTGAAAAATTACTTTACATTTAAATGTTGAAAATACCTAAATTTCCTCCAATGAACATCCATTTAATTAACAAACATATACGAAAGACAATGAGTGAATAAATCTCAACTATAAAGTATTACATAGATAATTAATGTTTAATAACACTGATTTTGGAAAATAGCTTATTCGAATATCATTACATTATTACCAATTTTGATAAAAAAAATCAAAAGTGGACAAATATTCAGGGACAGAGGGAGTATATAATTATAATGTCGGTAAATTAGGTTTTTTAAATTAATATGAGGAAAAAGAATCATTGGATCACTAATACTTTTTGTATTAATATATATACAGGGAGAAAAATTATAGATTTGTGGAAATATATCAAACCTAGATCATTTATATTTGACCTTTGAATAATATTCCAAATAAAAATCAAGATCCACATTGTATAATCGAATTTTTTTTTGTCCGAACCCGTGCATGGCACGGGTAGAAATACTAGTTTACTCAAAATACATTGTCATATTTGGTGAGAAGAACTATTTGTGGAATAGTTTTCAAAATTTGAGGATTTTTTATAAAATATTTTATAATTGGAAATTAAATTTGAAAAAAATATTGGAGACCATTTATAGAATTCATTCTTAAGTTTTGTACCAAGCTTAATTGAAAGGCTTTTTTTGGGGACTAAGGCCCCGTTCCGTACAACTTATTTTTTCTGTTGAATCAGATCAGATCAAATCAGACCACATCAGATATCAGATCAGATCAGATCAGATTGAATCAGAATAGATCCGATCCAATCAGATCAGACTAGATCCAATCAGACCAGATCAGATCAGATCGAATAAAGAATTATTATTATTATTAGTATTATTATTATTACTATTATTATTATTATTCTTAAAAATGAAAAAAATAAACTTTAGAAACAAGTTAAATAGAAAACTGAGAAAGTAATCATTAATTGTTAGACGTCGGAAAAATTATTTTTAAAATACATTGACAATGTCAAACTAATTCTACTTTAAAAATACATTTTTATTGTTACCTGTAATTTGAGTTTCTAAAGTTCTGATCTTTTACTATATCGAGTTGATCAACTTTGATCACGAATTAAATAAAATTACCAGTAACATTTGATATTCATACACGGAGTATATTTTAGTGTAATTGAAATAACTATTATATCTATGGTGTTATATAAATCATAAAAAAAATTATAGTACAAAGCAAACGTTGATATTTTATAAGGATGAGATATTTTAATAAAAATATTATCTCTTCTCTATATTGATTATCTAAATTTAATTACTTTATAATGTATATATGAATTAAATATTCATTATAAGATATATGAACTAATTATTAAAATATTAAATCAATATTCTTATTTTATTAAAATTAATCATAAAATAAAAAATATTATTCCATTATAATAGGAATGAATATTCTAGTATATGAATTAACTAATTTTATTTCATTAAAAAATAATCATAAAATAAAAATTGGTTACATTATAATATGAATTATCATTACAATTTTCAAACGTTAATAAAAAGTCAAATCAAATTATTGATTTGAATTTTAAATCAAATCATAATTAATCAGATTAGATCAGACTAGATCAGATTAGATCCAATCAGATCAGATCTGATCTGATCCAATTAGATCAGACCAGATCAGATCCAATCAGATCAGATCTAATCAGACAAAATCAGATCAGATCAGAACTACAAAAAATCAGATCAGATCAGAAAAAATAAATTGAACGGAACGAACCCTAAGGGAGTATTATAAATTACAAATTATAAACTAAACTACACGTACATTAATGTAGTATATACAATGTTGACTCTTATTTTGGCATATAATCAATTTACAAAGGATAAAACTATTTGTACCTCATTTGTACATTGCAGGTATGTACCATTATTTTGTGTTGGTGTAATGCTAATTTTTGTTAACACATCAACACTTTGTGTTAGTGTGCATTTTTGTTAACGACCAACACTTTATGTCAGTGTGAATCATCAAAATGTTGTTGTATACAAGTTTGGGGTATAATTTTTGGTCTAAGTGTAGAATGTTCCATTTACAAATGACACAAATTCCGGAGTATTTCATAGTTCAACTCGCTCTTAGAGTAACTAAATTATGAAATTGAAATATGCGTATTTATATAATTACACAATACTCATTTGGTTGTTAAAATGACTTGTTATTTTGTTGATAACATAATGTGCAAAACATGATAACAATTATATCCTAATTCTACTCCTTTCGTCCCAGTTTAAATTATCTATTTACTATTCGCAACTAATTTGAGAAAATAAAACAGTCATTTAACATTTTTTTTTAAAACTTTTGATATAAATTTTTTAAATATTTATATTTTATGTTTAATTTCTTACTAACTTAAATAAACTAAATTAAAATTCATCTTAATAAAACCTGGTAAACTCTTTTTGGGGGAGGGAGTGAAAAAATGTGCATCTATTCGTCGGCCGAGAACTCGAGTAATCCCAAAAAGCAACCAATTTTGATTTTCGAGACATTCTGACCATCCAAGTCACAGAGATACTACAACTTTAATTAGTACTAAAATCGAATGATAATTTAGGAGCCGGGGAAAGAGGGGATATATATACATCGCAGTAGCCAGTAGACCAGACGTGAAGGCCGGGGAAGAGCAAATGAAAACCTACGACTATACGGTACGTACCTGTAATAATGGCAGTGAGGTTGGAGGCATCGATTCCCTGAGTGACCTGCTCTGCAGTGGAAGCTGATCCAAACCCGCTTGGCCCTGGAATCCCTGTTATCAACCTCAACATCTTCTTCCTCTTTCTCTCACGTACTGAAGGGTCGTATGGTGATCAACCAAGAAAATTAACCAGAACAATCAGTTAAGCCCCTCTACTTATATGCGGGCGCTGGGAAAGGGAAATAGATCTCGGAGAGGAGCTGAGGTGGGAGAAATAAGGATTTGTACCCCACATTTTTGTACCGGTACACCGCAGGTTTGCACCCACATCTTGTGTCGGTGTAAAATTAATTTTTATTGACACACCAACACTTTGTGTCCGTGTAAATTTTTGTTAACGCACCAACACTTGTGTCAGTGTAAACCATCAAAATGTTTGTGCATAACTGCGGTGTAAAAATGGGGTACAAATTTTGGTGTAAGTGTAGCATGGTCCGAAAAATAATGGTGTGTGGGTGCATTAAGTGAAAACCCCGGCCCGCACCCAAACTCACCCTAACGTTTAACTTATTTTTTCTGATTTGATCTAATTTTTATTGATCTGATCTGATTTGACCTGATAGAATCTGATATGATATGATTGGATCTGATCTGATCTGGTCTGATCTGATTGGATCTGATTTGATCTAATTGAATCTGATCTGATTCATTATGATTTGATTTCAAATTCAAATCAATAATTTGATCTGACTTTATAATAACTTCTGAAAACTGTAATGATTATTCATATTATAATATAATCAATATTTTTTATTTTATGATTATTTTTTAATGAAATAATATTAGTTAATTCATATATTAGAATAATCATTCACAATAATATTTCACTTTTTCCATCACTTTCAACTGTACATCATGCTGTTTGAGTTGTACGAGAGTTGAAAGTTCAAAAAATGTCCTTAGTCATTATCACTCTATCACCTTTTCCTCACATTTTTCCCTATAGAAAAATAGCTTTCTATCTTCTTATACCAATCGAAGCACCCAAAACTTTCTCATCGTCCCTCACGAAATGGTCTAATTTTTTCCATTTGTCATATTCCTCAATCCTCACCTTGTCATTGCACACGAAAAACCTCTCTCCTCCATAGCCATAATCTTCGGGGCTCCTGACGCCATTGTTTCTCTCCTCGTGACACCATCTCCTCTAACACTTTAGTTGTTCATAGGGTGAGAGAGGTTATGCTTTGTGGTCTTGTATATTTAAGATACATGTATCCTTTCGATAGATTTATGAGCATTTCTGAGAGGATATGTGAGGAACCGTTATAGACCTAAGGGTAGTGTTATTGAAGGTATTTGATAGAAGAACTTATTGAATTCTAAAGTGAATGTTTGCGTTTGGAGTGCACGATTGGGGTATCAAAGTCTCGTCATGATGGTTGAACCTTAGGGTAAAGGAACACTATGACATCACATCTTTCATCTTGGCTCTGATATGCTCGATCTAGCACAACTCTATGTTCTGCAACAAACTGATGGTGTTTGCCCCTATTCAAAAGAGCACATGTCTATAGTAAGACACGCAAATCCTAGTAATAGTGAAAGGTGGTTGATCCTCGAGCAAAATCATGCATTTATGAAATGGTTTCAAGAGCGTGTTTGTTGGCAAACATCACAGTCTCCAGATCTTGTCACAAAAATGTGAGATCATTAAACGTCACGATGACAAGAGCATAGTACGTACTAAATAGTGGTGTGTCCTTGAATGCATCTTCATTACACAATCCTAAGGGTAAAGATTCCACAACGGTCTGGTCATACAAAACATACTATGATGAGATTGAGGATATTTGAAAATTTGAATATACCAACTTTACGATTTCTGTGTTTCGGTATAAATGGGTGGAAATCATACAGAGGGACACCCTCTTTTGTTATTCATTGAAAATAATCATTCTTCAATAACTCATTTGTATGTTTTTTAAGTTTCTACCTTTCATGTGTATTAGTAAAAATTAATTTCTAAAATATACTTAGTATATAAAAACAAAACAAAAAACAGAAAACGACACCAGGAACAGTCCGAGAACCGGACCAAATGTCGTGACTAGTATAGACTATATAGAGCAGAGTAAGTCAGTGGGCGTTGCGTAGTTGACAAAGGCAAGGAGCACCAAGGGGACCATGTAAGACTTGAGTTCGATTCTTGCGAACTACACTAAAAGACAACTATGTTAAACATAGGGCTTTTGCAAGTATCAGGTGCAGACTTCACTCTTTGACACCAATATGCGATCAAAACTCAATATACTTTCTCTTAGTGACTCTCCGATTGAATCTGAGGGCCCTTAGGGATGGGCTCATTTTTTTTTATGGAGCATGCTACATGTACCCCAATATTTGTACCCCATTTGTATCCCAAAAGTATGCAGCAACATTTTGATGGTTCACACTGACAAAGTGCGTTAACAAAAATTTACACTGACACAAAGTGTTGGTGTAATAATAAAAATTAGCATTACACTAACACAAAATGTTGGTGCATCCATGCGGTGTGCAAAATGGGGTACAAATTCTTAGAGTAAATTCCATAAAAGGTCCTCAGTTATAAACCGTTTTACATATTTAGTCCTTACATATCAAATATTACTAATAATATGGATGAATTTTAATGTTTATTTTCTTTGCAATTTCTTGAGACTAGCCGATAAAACTTATCTATAAAGCTTATTGGTTTTGATTTTAGGTTCCACCAGGAAGACTAATAATTGAGAGAGGAGTGATCATTTCAATTTTGGGTTTAGAGCTTCAAACTCAGCGACGAGTTTAGGAAAGAGTATGAGAGGAATGAGTTAGCTTAATTGAATCGAGAGAGAAGTATAAATACACAATTTTATCCATATTCTTAACAAAAACGTTAACAAAGCACCATTCATAAAAAATGATATAATAATTGGAGACTAAATTAGCAATATTTGATATGTAGAGATTAAATATGTAAAATGATTTATATTGGGGGTAGTTTATAGAATTTACTCTTATTTCTATATAGGCAGAGTCGAGACCATAGTTTTCAGAACCGAACCAGTGAACGAACCGGTCAAGGCACTAGTTCACTGGTTCACTGGTCGAACCAGTGGTTCAAATATTTTTAATAAATAAATAAATAAATACACACACACACACACATTGGGGCATTGAATTAAAAAAACTAATATATGAGTGAACAAAAAACTATTTCCTCTATTTATCAATAAATAATTGATGTTTGATTAACGGGCTGTTTGTTTCAGCCTCTTAATGGTTCAGATGTCTGAATGGTTCAGCGCTTAATGGTTCAAACTGTTTGTTTCAGCCTCTTAATGGTTCAGATGTCTGAATGGTTAAGAGATTTGCCTCTGAATGGTTAAATATTATACAGAGTCTGAATGGTTAAGACCACTTATCTGAGTTGATCAAACATTTGCCTCTGAATAGTTAAGCAATATACTAGCTCTTAATGGTTCACACCTCTTACTGGTTCAGCACTTAATGGTTCAGACCTCTTACTGGTTTAGCACTTACCTATTCAGAAGTTGCCAAACAGCCCCTAATTTATAATTAACTTAATTTACTTGAGTCGTGTCTGCTATTGTTTCTACTTGTTCCTTGTACTTGGTGCTTTATCTGTGCTATACTGTGTTCCCTTCCATATTTTTGTGCAGGTGGAGCCGGGGGTCTCTTGGAAACAGCCTCCCTACTTCCGAGTAGGGGCAAGGTCTGCGTATACACACCCTCCCCAGATCCTACTATTGTGGGATTCAACTGGGTTGTTGTTGTTGTTACTTGAATCGTGTCATCACATAAAAAATCACATATTTTAAAAAATTTATGAATAAAAAGTGATTTGATTTTTAAAAACATGTTACCTAGTATTTAATATATATATATATATATATATATATATATATATATATATATATATATAATATTTGTGTGATATGCACTTCATCTCAATTATATCAATGGGTTTTGAATTTTAGTAAAAAAAAGGCTATATTTTTTAAAAGTATTTGATAAAGAAGTTTGTAGTTAAAGAATATTAAAGACAAATAGCAACCAGTTAACACAAAGCATTGTAGCAGAGATGGTTAGAAGCATGGCTCTGCCTAGAATGTGGTCTTGGATTCTAACCTTGGGCAAGTGCTTTTTAAAAAAGTTTACAAAAAAAATTTAAAAAACCGGTTCCGGTGGTGAAACCGGCCGGTTTTCTCAAGTTTTAACCGGTTTCAACTGATTCGTTGCTGAAGCTGGTCTGATTGCCTGGACCGGACCGGTTTGATGCACGGTTCACCGGTTCCCGGTCCAGTCCGGTTTTCAAAACTATGGTAGAGACTATCCAAACTGTAATTGGATTCGGAGAATTTTGTTTTATTCATTTATTTATTTTGTAAGTAAAATTTGTTCTGTAACACCCGCCTTCCGCGGACCCGGTTCACCCGCGACCCAACGGATCGATAGGGTTACATGGGTGGTTCGAGAACCGTCCGTAGAGAAAAACGCATTAATGACTATTTATTATGAAAACGGTTGTGTTTTAATTAATGAAATAAATGCTAGGGAGTTAACCCCATAACGTGTGTGATATAAATGTAGAGTAAAAGCGGAAGTAAATAAATGAATAAAACGACAAATGGTGGGTTCATGCCCAATTGATTAATTAATTAAACGTATTTAATTATTGAACTTGTCCATGCTCCGCCCATCTTCCCACCATCACTGTCCTCCAGGGTTAGCACCTGTACCGTCATGTCTACCTGCCTGTAGCAAAAACAACTACACGCTCAGCAAAAGCTGAGGAGTAGATCTTGTTAGACGCCTCGCACACCTCTAGAGGGGGGGTGAATAGAGGTGTTGCCCAAAAGACCAGTTTTTTTTTGCGCGGAAACGTTCTTCACGAATATTCAATAAAATCAATGCACCACAAACAAAGTAAAGTGAAGGATAAGAGCAATGCACACACGATATATACTGGTTCGGCCTAAATGCCTACATCCAGTCCCCGAAGCAATCGTGCCCAGGCCTTCACTAACCCGTCAAACTTAACGGAGTTTGACAATCCGAATACAACTCGAGAACTTGATTTCACAAGCCTCTTATCTTACCACCGAAGTTTTCATTTCACAAAACTCAGGATTTCTTCCACCTAACGTTTGATTTCACAAACCGTTAGGATTTCTACCACTTGGTGTAATCCCAACACCAAGAATACAAATCCCTTACAATAAAGTAAGAAAACAAACCGCAACCGAGTAATTCTCCCAACACGGAGTAGATTGTTGCAAATACAATGAATTCCTTTAGAATATGGCAATATCTCTCAAAGACTCAAGCAATGAGGAAAAACTCAAGCAAGAAATGATTTAGCAATCAAAATAATTGCCTTGCTTGGATATAAGGAGGGGATTGAGTAGAATCTCTTTGGATATTCAAAGGATATGTTCTTCAAAGTGTTCTAAGTGTTCTCATGAAGATAATCTCGAAAGTAGATAGTTTATAGAAGTTGGGGAGTGGATAGGGATGAAAAGGATTCAAAAAACTAGCCATTTGGTAGTTGAAACTGTCGACTTATTCGA